GTGCTTCAACAGAAAATTAAGTTTAGATGTTTTGAAAGGAGCTTCATGCTCTTTAGCAATACATTTTGTACTTTTACGTCTTTATGTCTTCAACATTGGTAGGGAATGGGCTACCACTAATGTGACACTAATTGTGTCACTGTCTTTGGAGCTTAGTTTTTTTTTAAGTTTTCTTTCTGCATTCCACATTTCCTCATCAGCAGTCTAACATTAATGCCAGTCAAGTGAATATAATGAAGCTGAACTGAAAAGGAGATAAATAGCGGTCACTCTCACCTCGGTCACTTTGCTCCCTGCATGATTGCCGCCAAATGACTGAAATTCCTTGCAGTGTGTGCATTATGATGACCTTGAAGTATAGAGTTACTTTCACAGACAGATGAACACACGCTGAACTGGAAATGTCATTTACTGAAGCGGAGATGGAGGATCTACATACAGAAATGCTGATGTAGTTTCTGTCACTAATGTAAAATGCATTTCTTTCTCATTAAGTCAGTTTTTTTTTTCTTCTACTTGGCCCTTGAATCCATAAGTTTGTATGAAAATTTGTTTTGTTTTTTCTTTTGCTCCCAGGATCCCACCCGTGTGGTTAGCCCAGTCATCGATATCATCAACATGGACACCTTCGCCTATGTGGCGGCTTCTGCGGATCTCCGTGGAGGTATGGGGAAATGCTTTTTTCCACCGTCAGTCAGAAAAATAAAAATGGCTTTGAGGTGCCTTCGGGGTATCTTTTGATGGCAGAGAGAAGCCCCTGAGGGCTTCTGATTTATGAGCAGGCCCTTCATGATGAGTTCATGAACCTGCTCTCTCTGCTATGGAGCTCAAATGCCTTTGAAAGATTTTTTCTTTCAGCTTTCCAGCACTCTGTGTTCCTTTCTTTCTCTCTAGTTGGATTCCCAATGGACCCTGGGTAGTTTGTTTCCTTCAATAAGGTCTTGTATTTGAAATGTGCACTGCAGTCAAACACTGCAATACAAGTATCCATGCATAGGTTCTCTTTCATTTTGAGTATTTTTTATGACGTGACACTCAGGCATAGATGCTGAAAAGCCTTATGTGACAAGATTTATTCTGAGTGAATAAGCTTGGTTTGCCAGGTATATACTGTAGAAAGTATTATATGGTAAATAAATTTACTTCAACTTTACTTTAGGAAATGCTTAGAAGAAATTATTACAAGGATGGAAAGAACACAACCCAGAACATCTGAATAACAGCCACTAAGATTCCAACTTTAAAAGTTTGGAACAGAATATCAGTCAGTCAGTTCACAAATCCTGAAGGATGCTAACTGGGACGCAGGGTGAAACATATTTATGAAATACACTTTTACAGATTTTTTTTTGTGTTTTTTTATTTAATTGATCTCCAATAACTCTATGAATTCCTCTTGTAAACAACCTATTTTTACTGTATAAGCTCAGTTATGAGACACTGCAGTGCAGCAGTCACACAGCTGACATGTGGATCCACTGTTCCACTGCTGTGTTTGCTACAGAACACATCAACCTTGAATAGCAGTTATTAACCTGCCTTGGATCATGCAGTCATGGTAAGTCCAACGAGGTCTGCTGGACCCATCATCAGTCCATCCACTCGGTGGTCATTTTTAGCAGTTATGGCAAATAATTTTGCAATTTTACTTCGTGTAAAGTTGATACTTTAAAATCCAATCTGTCTATTTTAGCCTATCTTGGTCTTCTTCGTTAACTACTTCTTTATGGTATTTGCTGCCAAATTGTCTTGTAACTTAGAAGCATTTTTACAACAGAAGACCAAATGTGGATTTTTTTTTATGCCCTTACAAAATGGGTAAACCTCATTGGAAAAACAAATGTGTGTTAAAACATGAATAAAACAGTAATTTAGTCATTCTTCGAGATGCTTTGTTCCAAATTTCAACTGCTGTTATGGATGCTGGGTGATTGTAAATCAAATTCAACAGAAAAGTAAAGGGATTTTGTTTTGTAGAGGAAGTTTGTCATCTCAGACTGATTTTCACTTCCCACCGAGGCAGTTAAAGATCTCGCATTTAGGTCCCTCCTTGTTCAGGACTGTTCTCAGTCAGAAACTATTTGTTTCTCTTAAAATTTTCTCACATCTGAATTCATTTAGAGCGTAATTTTCTGTCTTGAATAAAACATTTTTGACACTATGATCATTAGAAGCAAAGATTTATCCATCAGGATTTTGGGAGCCGGTCAAAATAATCAGTGTCTGCCACCTGCTTGATAACATCAAATTGTCACCACAGGTTCCACATTGTGGGACAATAAAGGGATTTTCTATTTTTATGGATTTAGAAATCCATAAATGATTTAATACTGCTGTGTCATGTTGACATGGTATTAATAGGTATCAGAATTGTAGAAGATGAGAAAGTATAATTGATTGACCACTGTTTTAGTGAAGGAGGCAGCAGAGACAATGCTTTTTTTTTTTATCAAAATGGAAGATAGAGAAATGAATGTTGACAAAGGATAAAGCAGGAGTGTTCTTAGGATGATTGTAGCTGGATGTAAAAAAGCTATTTTAATTTAGGCCTAGAAGGTCTGTTTCATATTCCTACCTCCAAAGAAAACCGTTTTCCTTACCATCGCTTGTCTTTAGAATGGTCGGTTGGCCATCGTGGCCGATCACCTGAACATCGGACAATTAGCGAGCATTACGAGCATTTATGTTTGTGCTAAAGTAAAATAAAAGTCATTTCGGCCTAAAGTGTTGCTCCTGGACTTCTGGAAGGTAAACAGGTATGTAATAGTTGATGTTGACCTTCACCAGCATCCTTGAACTCTTCTTTGAAAGATTTTAGATTATATATTCTCTGCCCTAACAACTCTGTGAAAGGGATTAGTTTTGCTCTTTCTTTTCGAGTCATATTAAGTACAATTAAACCAACTTTTTGCTTTACATTCTCAAGAGACCTTCAGTAGCTAAACCTTTCTCAGTCTGTCCCCATTTCCCCTAATCACCACTATTAATGTCAAACCATGACATAAACTGTCAATGTATGGGTTTCAAATTATGATGTTATGATTTAAGGCAAAATTAAAATATGTTTGTTAATTATGAAGCAGATTGTAAATGAATAAATTATTCTATAGTACTTATCACTGATTTATCATACAGTAGAAAAATCCTGAGGATCCTTAACGTTTGAGGCCTGGTAGGTTTATGTAGCTGCTTATGAGCTGAAACAAAATTTCCAGAAAATAATTCAGCGTATTATCATTCCAGAAGACTTCAAAGGCCAATCTCTTCTAAAAGCTTTATAGTTCATCTCTCCTGCTATTAGTCTGCCTTATCTTTGTCCTCTGCACTTGGTAACTGCAATCAATGCCAGTCAAAGGTGATAATTGTCTTCTCCAGCTGCCGTTTCAGCCATGTAGAAAGTGGTCGGTGGTCAGAGTTGATTTCATAAAGGGGTTTTAACTGTAGATAAAAAGTTGACTCCTATAAGGAAGAAGTTTAGAAGATGGATATATAGTCCCTTGCGAAGGTATTCGGCCCCTCAAACTTTAAAATTTTTTTGACACATTTCAAGCTTCAAACACAAAGATATGCAATTCTTATTTTTTTTGAAGAATCAACAACGATTGGGACACAATCATGAAATGTAACTAAATTTATTTGATATTTCATACATGCAGCTCACTTCACTGATCTTTTTTTCTGTAATATTGACCCAACTGTTACCAGCAAGAGACGTTACTCATGACCGTAGTTCCAAAGGCCATTATAGTCACTGAATTAATGTGTCCACCACAGCAGTGAGTGGATGGATCTGAATTTTCTCCAACTGAAGATGAAAACACAAATGTTTTGTGTCAGATTCCAAAAATGTGAGATTAGATAATTCTCAACTTTTACTAAATAAGGATGAAGATCAAGGAACTCAAGTGTCATTTTTGATGTTTCCTTTTTGAAACAGTTACCTACCTACATATTGCAAATTAAATAAATGAAAAATACATATATCCCCACACAACAAAATGAAACAGTCCTTCTAGAACAAAATTAAAATGGTGTCATGATCGGTTTAACGAATCTGACCCAACAGCAGAGTAACCACTCAGAGAACCAAAGAGAAAAGTTCAACAGATTTATTTGTTGGAATGAGAAGAGGGGTTGGATCTGGAACTCAGTGAACTGGTGAACCGGAACTGGAAAGTCAGAAGGGAAGATCACAGAGATCAGTTCAGGGACGGTGGGAATCGAGACTGCGGTTTGAATTTTGCAAGAGAGGGACTCACGTTTGAGGGGGCTCTTGTCAATCCTTGATTCCAGTCTGTGTGGGACTATCCAGAAAAGAGGAAACTCATTGGAGAGCAGACAGGTACACATACATTGGACCCGGAGGAATAATGGAGCAGACTGTGACTTGGATTTCCGAAGGGAACTTGAACGGATCATGTGGAGGTTTTCCCCTGCTCTGTGTAAACTCATTTATTCCTACCAAAGAGCAAAGACAAAAAACTCATTAGACTCAGAGAAACAATGCTAGGTTAGACTCAGCTAATCTCAGCTTGGCTAGAGTACCCAAAACTGGCAAACACTCTGGCACCGAGGTAGTGACAGTCCACTGCCCAAATACTCCTCCAGTAATGGTCCAATGAGCCGCAGGTGTGCAGGGAGGCCCAATGAGGACAGGGCACCACCTGGTGGTGGAGAGAAGGAAACACACAAACTGGATTCCTAACAAATGGCTGTTTTTAAAAGCCAATGACAAACATGTTAAGAGCATGTTTCCTTCTTTTTCAATATTATTTTCTTTTTCTTCCATTTTGATTATGATACTGTCTCCTCTCCTATTTTTATACTTAATGATACAATCTCATTATTCAGAAGACAACAGTTATAAAGGTTTTATGGATTTTTTGCATAAAACCTTTAATACTGTGATTTGCAGATATTGATTTTGGTGACCGGCATTGTGAAGTTTTTGTGCTGCCTTGCCCGGCTGTGATATCTAGAGATGCTCTCGGTGGCGCTGCACTGTTGACCCTAGTGTAGGGATATTTGTGCTGCGGTCTTATTGGGTCTAAATGCTGGTTACATTGTATTTTATAACAGCAATGGAACTCTGATCAGCCAATCACATTTAAGAATGGGAAACACCCGTTTTATAATTTAGTCCATTATTAAAAATGTCAATCACCAATTTGAACCCAATAAATGGTTTTATGACATACAAGGATATAACAAACTGCGTCCTTTTACTGTTGGGAGGATGTCTTTAGTGGTTAAAAAAAGTACTGGGCTCTAACTGTGATTCAGTATTTCTGGTTGGCTTGAACTTCATAGACTGGTCATCATAAACCTTCATATAGGACTACAAATTGTTCTTTTATGTTCTCAGAACTCCCTGAGAAGGGTAACAACTTTGGGCTTTAGAGGTTCATTCAAAATGTCTTTGTAAATAAGGATTTCTTTTAGTTTTTATGATTTCCTTTTCCATCTTTGGAACATATATTTTTTTTCTTTTTTAAGCTTAGAACATGATGTTATTCTAAGCTACTAAGCCTCAACCTTAATAAATTCCTTTTAAAATTCCTCCAGCTAAAATTTAATCAAAATAAATTTGAGAGTTTACTGCCACCAAAGCCTTTTACATGCAGCAATATGTCTGTACAAGAGGCTTTTACTTTTAAACAAGTTCTTCAAATATTTGTATTTTACATTCTGGTTGTATAAATTGGTTTCTCTTTCATCAGCTTTTCACTTCTTATAATATCTACCAAAGGAATCTCTAATGTAACATGTTTATCGGTCTTATTATGATACATTAACATTACTTTTTACTTATTCAAAATGTTGTATTTAAGCAGCTGTTTCTTTGTTTTCATTGCTTAGGGTTTGACTGGAGTCTCCATTTTAAGTGGGAGCAGTTATCACCTGAGCAGAAGGCACGTCGGACCGACCCAACTCAGCCGATCAAGTAATGCAAACACTTTCAGTCTTGACACTATATGATTGTTGTAATTACTGGGAATTACAGTCCAACTAATGACTAGTCAGGACCAATCTGACCTGAAACGGTATGATACGATGCCGCCTTTTACAATTGCCTATTGTATCTCTGCTTCTGTCTCCTTGAACCCCAGTGACTGGTCAGTCATTGGATCCACACATGTTCTGCCTAGCTAGCCAGGCGTAGCAGGTCCTACACTGCAAAAACGATCTAAAAATGAGTAAAAAAGTCTTAAATGAAGTACATTAACCCTTAATTTGAGCAGGAAAATAAGATGATTTACCAATTGAATTTGTATTTTTACTCCTAAATTAAGATAATTAGATAATAGGCACTTGAAATAAGACAATATAATAGTTTTTTCTTATTTTAAATGTAAATTGTCTTGTTCCATTGGCAAAGTGTTACACTTACCTCATTATTTTCAAGAAAAAATTCACTTATTTTAAGAAAAAAATACTCATTGAGATTTACATTTTTTGGAGTGTAGCAATGCTAATTAGTATTCTTTTCAGAATCCAGAGCTCATAATGTCTGTATGTACTATCAATAAATCAATGAGGTTGAGTTCTAGATACTGTTTCATTTCAGAATATAAGCCAGTTTTTTGTTTCCTGGACTGGGGCCGCCTTTTTACATTCACCTTTTGTATCGCTGCTTCTGTCTCCTTGAACCCCAATCGGCATCGGCAGATGGCCACTCACAATGAGCCTGATTCTGGTGGAGGTTTCTTCCTGATAAAAGGGAGTTTTTCCTCTCCACTGTCGCTACAAGCATGCTTAGTGTGAGGGATTCCATTTGAGTCAACGGGTTGATGCAATCAACTGGTTTTCCTATGATAGAAAACTTTGAATCAATTTTAATGGGCCTTGAGATTACATGTTGTCAATTGGCGCTATAGAAATAAACTGAATTTAATTTAATTGAACAAAGTTAATAGCTGATCTAATCTGATCTGAGCTTAGGTTTGGTATTTATGGATTAGACTTCTCACACAGCTAAAAGAAGCTAAACCTCTGCACATAAAAGGCATGACATCAGGTTTTTCTAAACAGAATTTATCTCCATATCTCAGTCAGATTTTAAACATCCAACGGTTAATTTTGGCATTCCCTTCTTCCTGTGAAGAATAATCACCTTCTTCTGTTGGTTTAAGTTTTGGTTCTTATGTGAACATTTTAATCACTCATTTTTTTGAACGTGAACTCAGCAGAATCAATGTCTGTCTAACACCTTCAAGCAGTTCGAGCAGCAGAAGCTTATCATCCAAGTCTACCTGTTAAAGCCGGACAAACTAGTATTTATTTAGCAGTGATTGAGAAATTCCTACTCAGGAAGATGAGTGTTCTGTATTTTTCATCAAAGCTACTCTTCAACTATAAGAGATAAACAGAAAATTAGATCCTAATAAACTTTTTCTGTTGTGTTATATTGCTTTTTTAATGGTTGAAACTAACAGTACTGTCAAACAGTACTGTAACTGTAACTTTGTAACAGTACAAATATCCAGTGGATATTTTTTGAATTTTTACGGAAGTACTGTCAAAAGGCTTTCCTACTGATGTATTTTTTTTGTGCCTTTTTGTCAAACTTTAATGCTTCAAAATATTTAACACATTTTGCATTGAATAAAGATGATTTTTAGTAGACCAATTTATGATTTCATTCATGTGCAGAAAACAAAAAAACAAAACCAAACAATAGCGCTGCCCTCTGGCAAAGACTTATTCTCTTCTTGTTTAATCACTAATAACCTGTGTTTGAGCTACTTCTTTAAAAAGAAAAAATGTCCTTGGGTAAAAACTCTCTTTTTGTCAAAAACTTACTTTGTTGCAGTTTTGTTTATTTTTATCAAAACATGTTTCTCTTGTGAATGTCGAATAGTCGATGGAACAGAAACTCTCTGAAACCAAAAGATCTAAAAAAAAAAAAAAAAAAAAAAAGATAGATCCTAATCTGCATATGTATCTGCAATCTTTGCCTCAATCTTTAGAAATGTGGATGAACACAGTTTATATATTTGTTTAAGACTTTCAAGCTGATATAAAGTCATAACACAGCCAAGGAAAAAAAAAACATTACATATAACTCTAAAAAAATGTTTTTAGGAAGTTCTTAAAGATTGTAAGTCAGAAAAATACAGAAAAGAAAAATGACTCTGTCAAAAAAATCTACAATCTGTTACGAAATAAATGATGGGACCATTCATATTTTCTATGACAGCTCTGGCTAATTATGCCGCTGAAGTGTCCTGCTGTTGTGTAGATGACAAATGATGCATGTCTTGATGGCAGCAATCAGTAAAACCCAGCAACTCCTTGCTTTGACCTGTTATTGCTGCACTGACCTTGGCAAACTTAGACAGGGCTAATTATCAAAAAGAGCATCCAGACAATATTACTCATTATCATTCTTTTTCATCTGGGAGACGAGCAACTGCTGCTCTGATTCTGAATCAAACTCAGTTATACAGGAAGTAAAGTGTTTATTTATTAGTGCTAAACTGATGCGACTAATTTGGACCATAACTTGTTCACTATGACTTTGTTATCTTCACCTGGATGCCAGCAGCTTATTTCAGTTCCAGACGCAATCAAACTGCAGAGACTGAGCTGAGCTACTGACTGTCTGGGAACATCTAAACATCTACTTCCTACTTTTGATTTTCTTTTCTTTTCTTTGCGTATGTGGAGGCTTAATGGTTAGGGTATATAGTTTGGAATCCTGAGGTTCTGGGTTCGAGCCCCAATCCCGCAGACAGCCACTCTGGGTCTCTGAGCAAGATGCTTAACCCCACACTGCTCCTGAAGGGGATGGGTTAGATGCAGAGGTAATTTTCTTCAATGCGGGATAAATAACATTCAATTAATGTTATTATTCATCATATCTGTAGTTATCTGATTAGTATAGCCTGTTATTTGCTTACCTTATTTTTCCCACCTGTGAAATTGGGCTGCACCTCCTTGTTTCATAAAGGATTTATACGCAGGAAGTCAGTCTGGCTGGTGAAGCTACCCCAAACCATGATGCTGCCGCCACATTTCTTCATAAAAGCAATGCTTTCTGTTTGATAAACTGCAGATTTAAAACTATGGGTCAAATCCTACCAACGGTGCACATCTGGAGTTACCACCCTGTTTTTTCTTGTGTAGAAACGAGTAGATTGTAGCAGTTATTGCAGTCTTCAGGTTGTCTTTGTAAGGTCAAATAACAACCCCTTTGCTTTAAGTGATGTCTGATCAGCCTTGAAACTCCTAATATATTGCATCCTTTCTTTATCAGCTCTTATTAATAGAGAGGACAAATGGAAACACCCACAAATTCTGTCTTATTTAATGTGCTCGGCAAGTTATATTGCATCATTTAATGTCCCTCTTTCTGCAGCCTCAGACTCAGGCACTCATACAGTCACATTCCTCTAAACACACAAGGACAAACGGAGGCTGTTAAAGGTTTTTATTTCAGTGCGGACACACACAGAGCTACACGGAGGGCCGTTTGCTGGATAATTGTTAATAAAGAGAGGCTATTTGATGGCGTGTGTTGGCCTTCAGCTTGTCACTCTGCCCAGCTCCTGATTCACTGGGTTTGTTTGAATCTGTTTGTTTGTGTGTCTGTAAACAGCAAACAGAGTTGATTTATTCTGATAAAAAAAAAAATACAATTTGCAAAATAACTGAAGATAGTTTATTTTTGATTATATTAAATATGATACAAAATGCAGTATTTCTTTTTGGGATGATTTTTAAATTAACTGTATTTTTTATACACTGGGATCAAATCTATTCTTTCCTTTTTAATCCATTTTCATATCCTTTTGCTTTCACCCAACAGGACCCCGATCATCGCAGGCGGGCTTTTTGTGATCGACAGGTCCTGGTTCAATCATCTGGGGAAATACGACACGGCAATGGACATCTGGGGTGGAGAAAACTTTGGTGAGCGATCGCACTTGGATAAAAAAAAAATAACGAAAATACAGTCAGTCACAATCTGTTGCGTTTTGGAACATTAATAGATTTTAAGGGAAAAGGATGCATTACATCCGGGGTCGGGTCGCGGGGGCAGCAGCTTAAGAAGGGANAAAAAAGTACTCCAGAGTGTTGTTCAGCATGGGGGTGAGTAGAAAATGAAGGCTAATCATGTTTTGGGTGTACTATTCCTTTAAGAGCTGCACGGGTAGAAATGTTGAGAAGAAGCCATAATCAATATTTGTTCATATCCTTATATAAACACGATTCTCTCTTTCTTTGTTAACATTTAGCATGATTGAATTTGACTCAGTAATTTTAGTGCTTACTAGTCAAGTCAAGTCAGCTTTTATTGTCACTTTCATCATATGCACAAGACATACAAGGGGAATGAAATTACGTTTTCTCTCTAGAAATATACAAGACTGACATTTACAGACTGACAAAGTGCGGGACATGAAGGATAACAGTGATAGACTGGTAACAATAAGTGTTCAATAATAAATACAGTACAAAGAACAAATGACATTTAACGTTAACATTCAATATTTAACATTGAACATGTAAAAGAAGATAAGATTAATATAGAGTATAGACATTACAATAAAAGCAATAAAAACAGCAGCAATAGTATATTCACAAATAACAAACAAAACAAAAAAAAAAACACGGGAGAGAGAGAGGGTCGCTGCGTCTAATAAGTAACACCTAACATGGATAACCAGAAAGCTTCCCTTTTAATGTGAGTCAAAAATCTGTAAAATAGGAGGAATTACAGAAAATAAACATTATTTAAAACTGAAACCCAAAACAACAACCACAAAAACCTGAGAACTATTTACCAAACTAGTTGTATTTAACCTTCTAGACACAGTTTTACAAGCTATTAGTAAATATGCAGGTTGTTCAGGGTGAAATAAATGTTTCAATATGTCTTAGAAAAGTAACTGTGGGCGTTTAACCCTCAGCCTGATGTTCTAATTTTCAAGCTTTACCAGAAACGTTTAATTACTTCTGTTTATGTGTAATAACCTTTATGTTCTCTGATAAATCTCTTTCAGCAGTCTGTATGAAAAAAAATACTTCTGGTTGATTTACAGTAAAAATATAACTGAGAACAACAATTTAATTAGAGTTATTGTTATAATGTTTTTTTGTTTTTTGGAAGGTTTTAGTTGAGCAAAATAAATGACCAGATTATTATTTTTTTTTATTTATTGTGAGGTTTTGAAAAAAAAAAAAAAAATCTGAAAACTATTGGCAAAAAATGAATGTCCAGTTTTTGTTACTAAATTATTTGTTTGTAACATTTTGGTTAACGGAAAAATATTTAACTAGGAAAACTAACAATTGAAAAGTTTCCTTTTTTTGTGAGATGTTGGTTAAGTTGGGAAATATTTGCAGCTAAAAATGAGTTTTGTATTGGTTATGTTTTTTTTTTTTTTTTGCTGAGAAACTAAATTTAAATATTATAGTCTGCATAGTTTTTCTTTTTTTTTTTTACTTTTAGGGTTGAACAAAAAAAAAAAAAATTTTATATTTAGGTCTGTATATTTTATTTTTCACTTGCCTTTCAGGGATTCCATAGATCCTATCTGCATATGTCTCTGCAATCTTTGCCACAATCTTTAGAATGTGGATGAACACAGTTTATATATTTGATCAAGACTTTCAAGCTGATATAAAGTCATAACACAGCCAAGGAAAAAAAAAACATTACATATAACTCTAAAAAAATGTTTTTAGGAAGTTCTTAAAGATTGTAAGTCAGAAAAATACAGAAAAGAAAAATGACTCTGTCAAAAAAATCTACAATCTGTTACGAAATAAATGATGGGACCATTCATATTTTCTATGACAGCTCTGGCTAATTATGCCGCTGAAGTGTCCTGCTGTTGTGTAGATGACAAATGATGCATGTCTTGATGGCAGCAATCAGTAAAACCCAGCAACTCCTTGCTTTGACCTGTTATTGCTGCACTGACCTTGGCAAACTTAGACAGGGCTAATTATCAAAAAGAGCATCCAGACAATATTACTCATTATCATTCTTTTTCATCTGGGAGACGAGCAACTGCTGCTCTGATTCTGAATCAAACTCAGTTATACAGGAAGTAAAGTGTTTATTTATTAGTGCTAAACTGATGCGACTAATTTGGACCATAACTTGTTCACTATGACTTTGTTATCTTCACCTGGATGCCAGCAGCTTATTTCAGTTCCAGACGCAATCAAACTGCAGAGACTGAGCTGAGCTACTGACTGTCTGGGAACATCTAAACATCTACTTCCTACTTTTGATTTTCTTTTCTTTTCTTTGCGTATGTGGAGGCTTAATGGTTAGGGTATATAGTTTGGAATCCTGAGGTTCTGGGTTCGAGCCCCAATCCCGCAGACAGCCACTCTGGGTCTCTGAGCAAGATGCTTAACCCCACACTGCTCCTGAAGGGGATGGGTTAGATGCAGAGGTAATTTTCTTCAATGCGGGATAAATAACATTCAATTAATGTTATTATTCATCATATCTGTAGTTATCTGATTAGTATAGCCTGTTATTTGCTTACCTTATTTTTCCCACCTGTGAAATTGGGCTGCACCTCCTTGTTTCATAAAGGATTTATACGCAGGAAGTCAGTCTGGCTGGTGAAGCTACCCCAAACCATGATGCTGCCGCCACATTTCTTCATAAAAACAATGCTTTCTGTTTGATAAACTGCAGATTTAAAACTAT